TGCTCTTGATGTTGTCATTCATTGTGTATATGTGGTTGCCCGTAATCATTCCAAACAAGACGGTTATGTGTTTGTTCTTATTGGCTGGGGTGTAGTCATAAATCTTTTGACCGATACAGTTGTATAACCTGACTGTTAATTTAAATTCTTCAAACACCGGTTTCATATCTTCAACAGATGCTCCACTAACTCTAAACTCTTCTTCATCTAAATTCATTAGTTTCAAAATCTTATCTCTTGTCATTATTTTGCTTTCCCACTTTTTAGTATTCATCAGTGTCTCTTCATAATGGTCTATCAGTGTGTTAATCCAGCATTCCCCATCAGTATGTTTCTTATTCTTGATGGCATCAACTAAATTATCACTAACAATGTTAATTTCGGTATTGATGGTGTAGTGATACATTCCAATCTCATTGCCATTCTTCAGTTTCTTTTTTGTTTCGTCCCCACTTCCTCATGTGTTTGTTACATCACTGATGTCCAAACTCTTGATAGCACTTGTGTAGTCTTCAAGGTTTGTATGATTCTTCAAGTCTGGGTGTTTCTCAACTAGTCTCTTGAAGAACTTATCAAACAAGGCTGTGTCGTGTATCACTTCAAACTCTTTAAGTACCTAATTTAACATAGCTATGGAAAATCACATGTTTTTATGGGAAAATCCACTATAAATGGTCATTTTCAATAACTATGTTAAATTACCAGAGGGTAATACCAAATTGGTGGACCCTTCTTTTGGGCGGCTTTTCGCATCTAGTCCAACGTCTGATCTCCAAGCCTCCCATAAATCATTCACTTGTCTCTGACCCAAAAACTGAAAACCACTTAAGTGTTGAAACACTCAGTTTATCCGATAAATCATGATAAATCTCTTACATTCTGAAAAAATCATCTGAATAGGTCCTAAAGAAAGTAGATTATGCCAGTCTCCTTGGTTGTCTTTAAAGCCTCTCTGTCCTCCTGTTTTATGCCCATTATCAAAACCATACAACTGAAATCTTACAACGTAGTCTTTCTTGTTTTTGTTTGTAGCCATTCTCTCATTCAGTGGTGCTCTGCCTTCAATCTGTTCAAATTTTTTATCATTTTGTTTTTAGCAAAAGTTGCTGTTCTCTTGTTCTCGCTCTTCAGGCTTTTGATTATTTTTTTTGCTGTTTCAACTTGTGAAATCTTCCTGTCTCTATAAAATTCTACTACCTAATCTACTCTGCCTTTGACATCTTCTTTAGCACCTCTGGTTAAATCTTGTAGTATGCTTATATTCCTGATTACACTTCTTGATGGCATTATAATATACGTAAGTAGTTTAAGACACTTTATGTGTTTACCTTGTTTATTCTGGTTTATCTTCTGTGTCTTCAATATTATAATTTGCTCTCATCTTATGACACTTGCTGGATTGCTGGTGTCTCTTGATTTTTTCCTTTCTAATGCTACACCCACAAAGGGGGCATTCAACCTTGAGACTCAAGAATTTCTTATAGTATTCCCTGTGGTAGTATCTGTTGTATTTGTTCAAGTCCGTGTTCTTATCAATGTCTATTTGTATTAGAGGCTCAATGATTACATACCCGTTTTCATCAATCTCTCTGCCTTTGACACTCATTACTATGATTTATATAAGATTATCTCTTTAAGTAAATTAAGACACATTATTGTGCCTTGTAAGCATCCTTCAACTTCTGCCACAGGTGTAGTTTATAAACCTCCCTCATTTGTTTCAGTATCTGCTTCTTCTTACCGTCATTACCCCTTTTGAAGCAAACCAAGTTTTGTAAGCACTATCAAACTGTTCATATTGTTCTTGTGTAATCATATCTTTGTTTTTAGCATTTACAAATTCTTCTCTTAACCGTTGAACACCTATTGTGGATGCTCCCACCGGTTTTTGTAATGTCTTTCTTCTATTTTCCTTAGGTTCATCAATTTCATCATCTGCCTCCGCTCCTCCTATTTCTAACTCTGTTTTCTTTTTGTTCCCCACCTGACAGGTGAGGGTTGTTAGATTTTATCTAAGTTGCCTTCTCCTCCTCCTGCCTGCCTCCTCCTCTCCTCCTCTCCTCCTCCTCTCGTCGTCCTCCTCTCGTTGTCCTCCTCCTCTCGTTGTCCTCCTCGTCTCGTTGTCCTCCTCGTCCTCCTGCTCAACTGCGACTCGCGATCCACAGTGTTCGCTGCCGGACCTCAACCACGACCATCCACGCCCAGTGTTCCCTGCCGGACCTCAACCACGACCATCACCGCCAGTGTTCCCTGCCGGACCTCAACCGCGGGTATCCCCGCCCAGTGTTCCCTGCCGGACCTCAACCACGACCATCCACGCCCAGTGTTCCCTGCCGGACCTCAACCGCGAGTATCCACGCCAAGTGTTCCCTGCCGGACCTCATGTAGGAAGATATGCCAGATAGCATGTCAGATCGAATGCCAGAAGATATGTCAGATAGAATGCCAGAAGATATGCCAGATAGAATGCCAGAAGATAGGCCAGATAGAATGCCAGATTTGCCAGAAGATATGCCAGATAGGATGTCAGAAGATATGCCAAATAGAATGTCAGATAGAATGCCAGAAGATATGCCAGATAAAATGTCAGAAGATATGCCAGATAGAATGCCAGATCAAGTGCCAGAAGGTATGCCAGATAAAGGGCCAGAATGTTTGCCAGATAGAATGCCAGATAGGATGTCAGAAGATATGCCAAAAGATATGCCAGATAGAATGCCGAATAGAATGCCAGAAGATATGCCAGATAGAATGCCAGAAGATATGCCAGATAGAATGTCAGAAGATTTGCCAGTAACAAAACGTATAAATGACATGGTGGGGATCACACGAAGTAAAGTAATTTCTCTTCTTTCTCATTTTAGGCTCTTCTTCTGGACTGCTTCCATCTCTTTTTTCAGCATTCATTCTTTCAGTTCCTTCTTTAAACATCTTTTACCTCTTGGTTCTATTCTTGTTTCTGGGTCTGCTCTTTTACTTGAACTTGATACGTCGCGAAGCACGCGAGCCTCTGGCGAGGTGTCCATAACTTCTATAACGAGTAGTGCTTGAGAACTGCTTGAAGATGCTGATGCCTTTGCTTTGGCTTTGGCTGCTTGAGGCATAACTTCATCATCAGTTGCCATACTATACATTTCAGGTTTTATTGGAGCAAAACTTCTGGGTGGGTTGATGTGGTGTATCTGTTCAGGTATTGTGGGTTTGGTTCATTGCTTTTTCTTCTTTTCTCTTCGCTCTGTCTCCTCTTTGTGTGATTTCAGCATTCAATTGGGATGCTTGTTGTGTTGAAGATGATGGCACTGTTGGTGTTGTTTGTGTTGTTAGTTCTTCATCTACATTCATTGGTTGTGTTGGTTGTGCTATTACCGGTGATGTTGTGGGTAGTTGTTGTAGTCTTTCAGTGTGATATGTTCTACCTGCTGTTCTTACATTTTGTCTTAATAAAATGTCATTCATTTGCCTTAATAATATTTTCCCTTGCTCTTCCCTTAATTGTTCCATAGCATCAGCACCATCAAATATACTGCCTTCAGGTGAATTTCTAAAAACAGTTGCGTCTCTATCTGGCAATGTGCCAGTCAGTTTTTCATTTTCTGATATTAAATTGGTGATTTCTTCATAAGTTGGTTTTCTGCGTAATCCATACTTGGACATTATTTACATTCTCTATCACTGCTGTTTTCATTCTATATTTAATTTTAGAAAAATTAAATATATAATGCTAAGAACTTTTTAATAAATCACCCTCTTATTTATTGAAAAGTTGTAACCATTGATAATATAGAATATGTTAGATTAAAAATATTCTATATCAAGTAAAATTTAACTATGTTAAATTTAATCTAAACAACTATTTTGAAAAAAAAAACAATATTTATGTAAAAATCAGATTTCTAACTTGATTTTGTTGATGCTGTAAATGTTCTAAACTATTATGGTTAAGATTATCTCTTTGCATTTCATTATTAATTCTGTCTATTTGATTTCTATAATTTACTCTCTTATTTGTTTCAACTATATCGTTTCTGACTGATATTAATTTATCTCGTGTCTCCTTTTCATCTAATTGTCTCTTTAACCACGCTAAATAGGCACTGTCTTGATGTTTGAATATTCCACTGCCTGTTGCCTTACCTACTGGGGCATTCATTTTCTTTCTATAATTTGTTGTAGTTTGTTTTCTTTTATATGCCTGAAACATTTTCTATATTATTGTTGAGGTTTTTTAAATGATATTTTCTTTGTAAATGGATTTCCAAGGATCTATAAAAGCGTCCTCGTTCTTTTGGTGGGGTGGATCATGTTGACCCCGTGCGATGAACCAGCCACAACTGGTCATATCTGCTAAAACTGCTACGGGCTAGCAGTTGAGCCTTGCAAATTGCTGGTGATTTCTAGATTCTAGTTCTTTACAATCCAAGTTTGGGGTTAAGTGCAGCGATCCGACTGCTTGTCCACTTATAGCAAGGCTTCCAGTCACAAATGGCAAACTGGGTGTGGAAGCTACCTTTTGATAGATTGCCAACTTTTGTTAAGCACTTGTAGCAGCAAGTCGATGTTGACTTTCCTAGTATTTCCTATATACGTAACTTTAAATATCTTGAATTGCCCGCATAATCAGCCATGCTACGACGTTCTTCAGTGGTTTGTGAGAAAACCCAATCATGTCCAGAACTACTGCAATTTGCCACTGGTGAAATGATGGGTGGCGGACGGCAGAAAGAATTGCTTGCTGCTTCCAAGAAGTCCTGCTGCTTTGGTGCTGGGTTGGGCCAGGTGACTCTCTTGAGGGAACTGGAAGAAGGATAGAGTCTCGAATGTTTCAACAATCTTTCAACGTTTTTTCAACATTTGGGAATCACTTGGAAATCATTTGGGAAAATCATTTGGGACAATCATTTGGGAAAATCATTTGGGAATCATTTGTCCAGAATCTGTATGAGCCCATGTGAGCCCTAGAGGTTAGTTGGGAAAACTCATGACCACCAATCACCTACAACTCATCCGTCAGGATGGACATGGACCCCCTCGGCCCCGTCCAGCAGTAGCATTTCAAGCGAGCTTACTTCAGCAGCGGTGGGATCTTTGCTTTGCCTTCGCATCAAAACGTAGCTTGCCACGTTGGACAACCTCTCTGGATGCTGTTGGCTCCAGCCAGTGAAATAAAACCCAGCGTGCATTCAACAAAAACATTTCCATGCTTAATTTGTCATCATTGTTAATCATGTTTTCATGTTGGATAATACACCACAAACTTCCCAACAGTATATTCATGTTGGGCAGAATGTACCAAACATGTTTGATCAGATGTTTCATGTCACATAACTTCCCAACATCCCATCATTTATTCATATCCTCCACCATTGCAGAAGCACCTGCGCCAGCAAAGAAGTGTCCGAAGGCCGAAGCTCACATTGGCCATCTCCTATGCCCAGTTGGAGGGAAAAAAAACACATCAAACACATACTTTACTGGGTTAATTAATGAGATACTCATTGGATTATGGTCGGTGGGTTTATACTGATTAATTCACGGGACTATCAATAGTGATGGATGCGATTGTAATGGGTTGATTCATAATAATCCCATCCAATGGATATAATTAACCCATTATTGACCATTATTGTAATGGGTTAATTTGATGGGATTGATTAATGAGACAATAATTGGATATACCCTCCGGTGTCGTCAAACGTGGCGGGGAAAACCCATGGAGCTAGCTGGGAAAATCATCGAACTGGTGGATGTTCCCGATGTTTGATTAACGGATGGTATGTTTGAAGCAGCAAGCAGGTTTAATCCCCTATAAGCCTCGGAGATTGATCACCTCTACTAGACTCTCGTATTGCTAGTCAAGTACCAACTTGTAATGCTTTTTACCCCATGTACCTATACCCATACATATGTACCCATATATTATATGCCCATATATACCCATATATACCCATATATACCCATATATACCTATATATACCCATATATACCCATATATACCCATATATACCCATATATACCCATATATACCCATACCCTTTGTTCTTGGTGACATCCCTGTTGCTGGTAACATAATGTCTATAATGTCATATCCCCGTCACTGATGTGTCGATTCCCACCTGCACTCAGTGCCTGTACTGAAAAAAAAACTCCGTAGTCTTAGTCTTGGTGGCAAAAACCTTTCTCTTGGTGGAACAAACACTCTTTTGTTGCCATTTGCATACCCCGCCGCATTCCTAGGACAGAAAATTACGACCAACAATAAACATCCATAGCCCATCATAGCCACCATTGAAAAAACCCACCAGTTTTGGATGTGTCAAGGCATTGGGGCACCAATGGACCCAGAAAAACTGTGCTTTTCGAGATTAAAACCAAAAAAAAACATCTCGGGAGAGTGAGAATTCTGACTACCCTCTGGTAATTTAACATAGCTATGGAAAATCACCATTTTTAATGGGAAAATCCACTATATATGGTCATTTTCAATAGCTATTTTGACATAACCAGAGGGTAGTCCTAAAAATTCTCCGAAAATTGCAGTTTTTTTCGAAGTGCGGGAATGAAAAAATCATCTGTGAGGTGACCGGTCCTGGGTCCGTAGCATGGTGACTTCACCCCCAGAAGTTGGGATTCTATCGCCCGGCATGGCCACATCGTGGGGATGTCAAAATTTGGTCTCCCTCAAAATTTGGATATACAATGATATACCCTCTGGTAAACTAACATAACTATGGAAAATCACCATGTTTAATGGAAAAATCCACTATAATAATACGGATAAGTCTGGGCAAATTATAATAGTTCACTAACCTGAAATAAGACCATATTTGGATAATTCCCCTTACTAACCATTATTCCAGTGAGGTCGCAGTGAGGTCGTTATAACTTACCCAGAATGATATACATAGCATATCAGACCTGGTTGGTGGTTGAGGTTTCAACCCCTCTGGAAAATATGAAAGTCAGTTGGGATGATTGTTCCCAATATTTCTCAATATATGGACAAAAAATGTTCCAAACCACCAACCAGCGACATATCATAACATGACCAGTTTATCTGCAGTCATGTTTAGCCTCAAATATTGACTCGAAGCCATTTCTGAAGTGAAACCGCACACCCCAAAAGTATCTGCCCATGTTTCCCGCCCCCACCTGTGCAGTGAGGTCTGCTGCGCTGGTGATGGCACGTCGCCCCACTGCCTGAATCGAAGATGCAATCAACATGGACTAAACAAGCGAGGATGCTGATATTCAGTCAAATTGTTTATAGCAACAATGGAGACGTTGACCAGACATAGTTTTGGATATTTACCATGAAAAATGCAGCCTCTGTACTAACTTGAGAATCTTGACCATCAAGTCGACAAACAGAAATGCGGATAAGAGCCAACAAGAACTTGGAATGAGGAAGGTGAACAGCTTTGAACAACAACAATCCAGCAATGATTTTGGGGAAATGGCTATGGTAAGACTCAAAAGCTTGGGACGGCCCAGATGTATGGGCTATCAGGAAATCTTCAAATGTGCCAGCGTGCAGAAAAAATGTAAGGTCAAACTGTCACTTGATGGAAAAGTTCAAGCCATATCTCTGCTTGTTTATCACCCCAGCCCATGCCGTCCCAGCCTGCACGAAAGGTTCGTGCCAAAAGCATAGAACTCCGAAGGCCCAAAGGCTGTTTCCAACACCTGCAGGCAGGAGGCAAAAGGGCCATGGGTTTACCCAGATTTATGGCTATTACGATGAGAAAATGGGGGAAAATCCAGCCTGCGCTGGATCTTGTGGCACCCTAGTTTTGGACAAAACCAAATGGGAACCAGCAACCGGAGGTGGAATGCCGTGGTAAAGGTGTTTGGAAACATTTGCTGTGTCCAGAAAGTATGACCAAGGAACTTTTCTGGGCCAGGGAGGGATGCGAATTCTTTGAGTTTGATTTTTTTCTCAGGGCACCAATGGTGCCTCTAAATGCCTCTAATTAATACTTTTCCAAAAAGATGATGAGCATCCGCAGTGCAGAGTGAACTAGTTTGATCGCCGATCTGTGTTGAAATCCGTCCTTCGGTATTTTAGGCCCAGTTTCTACAAAGGGTGGAAGTGCAGGAAGTGCAGTATCTAATTGACTGTTCGTAGGAATTGGATTCGCTTTTGACTGTACATGGGTTTGTCTGAAGATAGAGTATCCAAAAGATCATGGATACTGTAAGCATCATGTTCCGATTAAAATTGCATAACATATCATAAAATGACCATTTTAACTTGGTACCTCCCATTGTCAGACCGACCCACATATTAACCATGACTGTTTTGTCATGGTTTGTCATGGTTTGCGGTGACCCGGTGGTGTGTCATCATTTTGCCCCCTAAAATATGACCATATCGGGGTAAAATGTGGTAAACCCAATAGTAAACCCGAGGGCTTCTTTCACTCATTTCTGGCGACATTGAGGAATCTTGAGGATAGTTTATTATTGGGCTTACCATGGTTTACCATATTACATTACCAGATTTCCAGACAACCCCACAGCTGCGAAGCGCATTTCGGCGGGGACCCAAACGTTGCGCCGTTGCGCGATCAAGTGCAGTATCTTAGAGACATCTGATCAAGTGCTGCACGCTGCTGCTATCGCCTACAGGGGTCCGATACTCCCTTTCCAGAAGAGAGAAGGGTCAAATTGTCTAATTTCTGAATGGGTCAATCTCGTTCAATCCCTATTGTAGGATATCTAATGGATATCTGAGGTTAAAACAAGATTGGCCAGGGCAAATAGTTGCAAAAAATCTATAAACCAAAGGAAAACAAGGTTATCATCGTATGAACTAGCTATGGCTTTCTGGTTGTTCCACCATACCCCTTCAAGGTCCGGTGTTGAAAAGACATATCCCTCAACTCTTGGAGGTTTTTTGTGCAAGCTCATGGCCCAAAATGATTGCACCTCTAAATTGGAGGAGCTTGTGGGCATGGCATCCCGTTCCATCCAACAGGCCAATGGTTTATCAATGGCGGGACCATTCTCAAACGAAGCCAGCAAATGTCAAATGGTTGCACTACATCCAACTAAAAACCTACCCTCTGGTTATGTCAAAATATAGCTATTGAAAATGGCCCAGTCGAAATAGTGGATTTTCCCATTGAACATGGTGATGTTCCATAGTTTTTTGTATGTTTACCCGAGGGTATATTTCTATATATTTCTGAGCCATGGCGTCACGTTGCGTCACCTCCATATTCGGGATTGCCCCAAGTGATCACAGAGCCATCTTTCAGAGCCGCAGCGAAGGCTCCTCCTGTGGAAGAAATGTGGAGGACGTCCACCAGCTGATCTGAAACACTGCTGCAGTCACCACCAGAATCTGCATCGCCCCAACCTGGGCAGAAGTTTACTACTTAGAACGTACTTTCTGTTAAAAAAAACATCCCAGAGATCCAGAAGTATGAAAATTCAAGGTGAACATTGCAGGATGACAACCCAGGCTGCAGGTGTTCCCTTTATATATAAAGCAAGTGATGTGGAAAAGTGATAGTAGCGAGTGCTGATAGATTCGATGGAAAACTCAACAGGTCTGGCACGTGGTCTCTGGCTGTCATCTCTGACAAGCGCGATTTCCTCCGTTCAGAGGCCAAAAATTTCCGGGTCCGTTGAGTGAAGCGGTTTTGTTGGGTTAGATTCACACTCGATATCCCAAATCAGAAAACATATCAGCCAATCATCTCAGTGCATTGAAAGCCACAAACCACCGATCCATTCTCCAGAATCGCAGCAAAGGCATGAAAGGTGGAGTGGATTTGCTGTACTTTCTTCAACTGTCCTGTACCCCGGCTCGGCGAAGCGGCTGCAACTGTTCTCAGCTTGGTTCAACACTCAATCTGACAGTCCTGTCTGGAGACTCAAAACCCTAGAAATTTTGTGTATCGGCATAGTAACTCTTAACCTTCATTGGACCTAAATTGAACAAGACAAACTTGTGGAGAATCAACCAACTGCACATTGCCAATCAACTTGAACACCTGTCTCATCTGCCAATATCCGGTCTTAGCTAATTCAGCTGGGATTTGACCTTTCTCGATCGAACATGGTTGTGGTTCAAAATTGAATATAAAAATTCTGTTCCCGAACTCAGATATTGGTCATTTGTTCCCATGATGGCTAGTTTTCCCCTCATCTTGGTTGCCTAAAACTTGACGTGTTGTTTGTTCTACCCCAAGTTTCAAGGTTTAGACCCCAATTCTCTGATGGTAAAAAAAACACATCCAGCTGGTCAATATCTCCAAAACCACATTGAAGTTGTGCTCACAAAATCCACCCCACAGGAATTGCGGTCTTCAATCTGTTGATTCAAAAACAACTCCATCTTGTAGGTGTCACCAAAATGTCCCTTGAAACGACACCCAGGGACCGAGGGAATCCTTCGTTCCCACCGCCAAAATGCTGCCCCCAAGTTATAAGTTGGTTTATAAATTTCGAACCCGTCAAACTATGGATACACGCCCTGTACTGTATATTTTATACCCAACAGAAACCAACCCTTCCTGTCATCAAATATCAATCATCCAACAAAAACATGGCTTGAATCCTCATTTTTTGGTGAACTCCCCAGTGTTTAGCCGTGTTTGGTGGTACCATGTGGTACTCCCAGTGCCTTGCACCCGGCTGCTGTCGGCGCCATAGTCGGCACCGCCCCAGGTCACGACGGAACCGCCACAGCGTAGGGCAGCAAAGGCGCCGGCGGAGCCGCAGATGGTCTGAACGTCCAGCAGCTGAGCTTTGACACTGCTGCCTAAAAAGGCTTGGAAATACCAGCAATCAGCAGTTATAGTGAGGCAGTGAGCTTACTATCCACTTATAAGTTGCCACTTATAAAGCTTGGCAAGTGGCTTTGGCAATGCCTGGAAGTTATATCCCAACTTCTGGGGGATTATACCCTAAGGATTCTTTTGGAAATCGCTTTGGGGAACCCAACAAAAATGCAGATGATTTTCCGATTAAGCATTAAAAATGAACATGTGTTTCCAAGCATTTGTTGGATTTTGTGCTGAGGATACAGGTAAATGAGTGTACTGTAAATCTAGGATTTTATGCAAGCATGAGATATTGAGCAACAATGGTGATGCCTTGGGATTTGAGTTTCTCTGAAGATGATACGAGCCATATTAATTTGATGATGATTGAATTTGCTGAGAAACTGGGAATATGGAAATCAAAGCAACCATTATAAGGATATAACCAAATATAGTCAATAGGATACAATACGATATATAGGATACGATATATGATATTTAGGATACGATATATATATATATGATATATTTCAATAATATTATATATATATACTCAATAGGATGTGATATAATGGGATAAATGAATATGTTTAAAAAAAAAATGTATTGTGTCCAGAAAATGAGGATCCATGCGCCATTCATGGGATATCCTGGATATTACCATCCCGGTAGTAGTTGGACACTGGAAGATGATGGAGATTTAGAAGGGAGGATGTGTGTGTATTTTTTGAACATGACAGCCTTGTTTGGACAATCTCTGAAGTTCAGTCATATCAAATTAGCAATGTTCATAGTGCAAATAAGTTTTAAAAAAAAACATGTGATATTGGTGATATAACCCAATCATAATAGGTGAACATCGGTGAACATCCAAAAATTCGCAACAGCTTTCGAAGGTCACCGATCATTGGGATTTTTGGGGATGGAACTGCTGTCGGACATTCTTTGGCTTTTCCCCACGAGAAGAATGACCAATCATTTAGAGATGCTGGGGTTTAACAATAGAAACACATACACATAATCATATATATATATTATATTATACATATATATATATATATTATAATTACTATGTGGCAAGTGTTGTGCAGTTTGCCACGATTCCCTTTGGAATTGGGATTCGTTCCATGTCTTTCCGCTTTTGAAGCCCCAAAATTGATCTCCACCGCCAAGTGCGTCAAGGCACAATCTCCACCATAGCGATCATCTCCCCAGGTCTCGACACGACCATCCGCCAGAATGGCAGCAAAGGCTGCGCCAGAGGCGGCGATTTCCCGTACACTTCCTTGGATTTGCTTAGGATTTTCTTAGTTAAGGGTCCCAAAAACATCCCAAAAACATCCCAAAAACATGTGAAATATTGTCCAAACAGCTTTCCATAGCTTCCCCAATTTTGGTGAATAGGATCATGGTTACCATGGTTCTTGGTTGAAATTCAAGACCTCGGACAACCACCAATTTCGTCTATGTTCAGTATTAACCATCCAATTCTTTTTTGGTACCCAATTTTGACCCCCACCCACATCATCCCGAATCAAGAGTCATCATCCCACAGAAAGCCGAAGTTTCTGAGATGCACTTGGCAGCTGTCACCTCCAGATCCTCCATCGCCCCAGGTCACCACAGATCCGTCCAGCAGAATGGCTGCGAAAGCGTCGTAGGAAGACACGACCTCTCGCTGCGGAAGCCTTCGTCTACACAACGTCCATGTTCACCAAACCAGGCTGGTTGTACCAACTGATTTGAATTTTAGGATATTTTTACTGACATAGTATTACATACGTAATACATATATACCTTGAAAACCCAACCCTGCAAAATTTTAGGCATGGGCTGAAATCAACTCAAAAAAAGTCATCTCAAAGAAAAAAAGGCATCGGAAGTAAAAAAAGGACTTGTTGGGTGCACACATCCTTTCTGCCCGCTCGCTTCTTTCAAGCAAATCCTAAGCTGCTCGATTTGATGAATGCCTGGGATTGCCTGGCACTCAGACATCGGAGAAGGCCCCAGGAAGGATAAACAAAGCAACATAATGAATGATGCCAGTGATTCCCCAAACTTAAGGAATTTGATTGGAACTTGTTTTTGGTTTATCTTTATCTCTTCCTTTTTTGGGCATTCATCCTGCGCAGCCTCGCTTGAAATGCAACTCCATACCTTTGGAGGGTTCTGAGAATGGTAAGTCTAGGACTTACATGGCGACTGATGCGCGAGACCTTCCCTATAAAGTCCTCGTTCATTTCGCAATTGAATATTGCAGGACTCAAAGTTTGAGGGTGTGAACTCTCATAGGACCCCTTCATCTCGAAAATTGTATGGGCCCAATAGTGAAATTTGGGTCGCATGCAGAACAAACGTTTGCGGTCCTGTTCCAAAGCAACCCGACCACAAAATGAATATGCTCTTACAGCACACAATCCTTGTTTCATCATGTAGCCTGCACACCCATGCGGCAGCCACAGGTCGTGACTATGCATCACGCCAAGGAAATTCAAAGTGCCTTGGACAAGTTTATGCATTGCCGACAAAACATATTTGTCATGGTCATCACGTGGGTTGCGCTGGGCCAGTTGCAAAAAAAAGTCCAAGAACATCAACACCAGGGTCACATCAGCTCCCTTTCCACCAAGAAATGGAAAAGCCGCTGCTTTGGTAAAGTGCAAGTTTGCACGGGTGAAATTTTTCAAGGATGACACTTTGTGTTCGGATAAGCACCATAGCTTAAACATTTGGAAAGCCCGGCTGAGTCTGTCTGGCAAATTCCGGGAATCACCATCATCATCGAAATATGTTCGGTATGCCAACATCAGCAATATAGATGCACATGCTTCCCGACCAACACCATGCTTGATCGTATGGAACATATCCCTCTTGTAGAGAAAAGCTGGATACTCATTGTCATTGCTGAATGGCACCGTCGACAAAGGCGGCGTAGTAGCCGGGTTCCATGGGACCGAAGATCCAACCTCATGTGCAGAGGGAGCTTCCAGGTCTAAGTTAACGATGAATCTTTATATTTAGATCAATATACAAGCTTGGTGTACAAATCTGTTATCATCATATATACCCGATCAAAAAAATAATGAGTATTCTATTCTACCAAAAAGGTTGACACAACATAAGCCAAAATGGTTCAAGGCACCGTTGGTAGCCAAGCTGGGTTATCACTAACATCCCCAAAGTTGTCATCTGCTTCGCATTCTGGGCACATGTATAGATTGTTTGTGGTTCCCACTGTCATGAAAGATCGTAGGAATTCACCAGTTTCAACATGAAACTCGCAATCTCCCTTGACTCCAATCAGAGCGAAGTGGTATGTACTGGAATCAACCACCACTCCATCCCAGAACAAAGATTGGAGATCTTTCGCCATCTCTGTAAGAACAGCTTGAAGGATAGCAGAGCTGTCGATGTGATAAACCGACCATGGAACACATGTGAAGAGGAATTTGGTCAAGAAGGAATGTCCTAGGTTCAAATGATGCATGATAAGCTTGTACATGGGAAATCAGAAAAATGAACCACGTTCTTTATTTGATGGCTTAATTCACAATCCCAAACCTCACACCAACAAAATGATTTTATTTGGTTGGTTAACGACAAATGCCTTTGATCCTTGGTATCAAAAATCATCCAAACATCAACACTATTTTTTGGTGGCTTTTGAACCTCATATGTCGATGTGATGATAAGCCAGTCATGATGATATACTCAATGTTGGTTGTTTGATGGTCTGGGTATTGAACCAACACAAAGACAGGTTTGATATGATAATCACCCAAGGGTCCCAAGTTGTTGTGAGTTTGGGTTTTCTCCTCAGCATGCCGGCCGAGGCGTCTCCTTTTGATGGTACACCTGCTGGATGCTTCCTCCCCTTCGCTCCAGGCAGGACGCTCACAGCAGGACTGGCCAAGTCGCCCTGTATCATGTTTTTGATCTGCACGTTTTTTAACCAACATCTCATCAGGAGTGTAACGAAGGTCATCAGGTAAGCCCCAAACAGACTCCCAGGAGTAGCAAGCTATTGGAGATTTTTTCAAGCTTCGTCCTTTGTCACCATGGACGCATATAGGGATTGTGGTGTGCAAATGTTCAGAATGGTGTTTGAACACTGCATGGGACGGTTGGTACAATTTGAATTTCTTCCAAAACTCCATGCATTTGGCTTCACCAGCCCGAAGATCAACACCACCAAATATCACTGCTGGGTTCTTCTGCAGAAGGTGTGTGGCCATGTCACCCACCTGCAGGGTACAAACACCCAATTTAGGATTAGTCTGGAAACCCCAAAGGAAAATGGTTCATGCATGATTGATGTGATATAATTGCATAATATTGGTTGATAAACAATCAAAGATCCGATGTTGATACATACAAAAGACATGTGAACTCAATTTCAAAAGGATCCAACGATTACAACCGCTACCCACCGACCTTGTAGTAGGGAATGTCTATGCTCTGGCCCCCTTCAACTGGACCAACCAAGATGTGCTTGATGGGAACTTTGAGGGACAACCAATACTTGTTCAGAACCCTGTGGGCATCCCGCTCTCCATGTGATACGTGGACTTTGCTAGCATCATGCAGGCTCTGGGCAGTCGCACCATCTTTGACTGCAGCACGAGCCAGAGAACCAAGCCGGCAAGCTGGGGCCTGGGAGGATGGGGAGAGAGATATTTATATTATAATATATATAATAACCATGTTGGTTTTGATAACACACTGCCATGAAGTTGGATTGGTATATGGTATACTGCACTTGGCCCCTGGCACCATCAGCCACTTGATCTGCCAAAAGTTCCAGCGTTGCCATTTTGTCCATATCATCGCCTGGCAGAAGGAAGTGGCAAGACATATAGTGGATTGGCAATATCTTGGCATAGCATTGTTCTGAAAACTATAAGAATGGATAAAAGGGAATATCATGGGAATATTATATCGCATCATCAAACCACTGAGCATGATCGCATCACCAACCTTAAGATTAACACCGACCCCAGCTATAAAGATAAATATATGGATTACAAAATGGTAATTATTTATATTACCATTTTGGAATCCATATATTTATTTTTATCATCAATGTGGTAATAATCCAGGGTTGAGGAAATGCTTACTATAGCACCCAAGCAACAGTCTCACATGGGCAACTAATCTCAACGATGCATTACCCAATTTTCCATTCGCTGGCAGATGCTGAATCCAAAAATGGCTCCCCCCCATAAGCTCTCGCATCTGCGGCTACATTGCAGCTCATCAAGATTTTCAAGACTTTCGCTGTCGCTTTGGAGCAGGTGCCTTCGGGGCAGCACCTCTTTTGGGCGTCGGTGGTGGCTCACTAACAGCCTTCGCCTTGGCCACGGGTTTGGCCTTTGCAGCCCTTTTGGGTGCTGTCGATGCCCCGGACTTTGCCTTTGGGGTATCTTTCGGAATGACAGTCCTGCAGGTGTCATGATCAAACAATGTTTTAACTGATCTTTGTTTTTCTATCATGGGTTGATTCGCAAACATGATTACAAGATTACAAGATAGGTATATTTATTTAGAATATATGCAACCATCAAAAATATTATAATATGATGATCATGAGACCAGTCCTTGCTCGCTGTTCCAGCTGGAATGCTTCCAAGATCCTTAGAACATAGCACCAAATAGCTGAAATTCTGTTGTGAAGAAACCCCAAGGCCCAAACGCGCTCTTGGCTTTCTCCACCAAGATCTTCAACTCTGCTTCTTTCCTGATAATGTTTGCAGCTTGATCCAGCTCATGGTTTCACAAGCTAAACAGTTGGTAAGTATGATCAAACATGAGTAAAGCTTTCCAAGACCCCAACTCAGTCGACCAACCATCAACGATTCCGGCTTGGTATTCTTCAGAAAGTTTGTCACTAAGACCTTCCAAAGATTTGTAGAGGTTGTTAACCTTCTCCAAGATCCTGGGATCAAACCAACTAGGCAGCATGACTCTGTGGTTAACATGTAGAGCTGAAACTACCATGGGGGAAGAACAAATTAAATTCATTTACTAATGTCAAATGAGATTCTTTGTCGTCAGCTGCGATGCTGCCATGTCTGGTTTTGACAAACTGACTTTGATCAACTCCAGTTGGCCCATGCGTTTAGTGACTGCTGTTGCCACCTTGTTGAGAAGGGCACTTGATTGGTGAATCTCTTGGGAGTCGGGGTAACCAAGTCTTTTCAACAGCTTCACCGTTTCCACGACTGATGATGGCAACCCACCGGCAGGCACCGCACCATCTGGGGCAGAGCTTGCAGTTCCTGAGCGGCTCGGCAGAAAGAGGATATAGATGATTGGTGCTGGGGCTTGGGATCAATAACGAAACCAAACACATTAAAATATTTCACAGATTGTCATGTGTCAAAATGGATTGTTAATCCCAAACAAAAAATAATGATGGATTTGGTGTACATCATACTTGTTGGTTTCCAGTTGGATGTGAATAATGAAATTTACTGTAGATGGTAAAAAATGGTGATGTTAATTTCAGTTTGCTAATCGAAGGGTGTAATCATAATTATATAAATGTATCATACTGTATAAACATACCTTTGGGGGACAAAGATTGGTTTACTTCAATCCATTAGGCATAAATTCAACAAGTGTACTGATAGCTGGATTGTAACGCTTTGTTATCTCATCTCGTGGTGATTG